GTTGGGAAAAATTATAGTAAGGAAAATGCAAAAGTCAGGGCAGTTATTACTTCTACATTTATTTAATCAAATATTGTCAGAGAGAGAGGGAGAGAGAAGCATATGGAGGTCAGAGGATAATTTTAGGAGTTCGATCCCTCCTCCTGCCTTTATGTGGGTTCTGGGGATCTAACTAGGGTCACATCCATGCTCCAGGATAACTGGTCCACAGGCTTCCAGGCAATTCTTCTGCCTGCCTCCATCCTCACTGTAGGAATACCAGGATTGCATATTTGGCTTTTTACACAAATTCCGACATTGAACTCGGTCTGTCAGGCTAAGCTTCCGCGGTGTTCATGACTGCGTTATCTCCCAGGCCCATCTGTTCTGAAGGGAGAACCAAGCACGAGTTGGGAATCACAAGCTGTCTTTACATTTTATTTCTCTTCATTGGGGTTTCCTGAGTAATGACTATTATCGCTTGTGTGCATCACAATAAGGAAAGGCCTTTCAGCTTTTATGTATTGCTGCTTTAAAACAAGCCTGTATCTTGGGAAGGTTCTAAGGCCACAGTTTGCAAACTAAGGAAAGCCTAAGCTCACAGAAGCCAAAGCTTGCCCAAGGCATAGACAAGTGTGGGAATTTGTCTTCAGATTCTACATTTGCTACAGACACACACACACACACACACACACACACACACACACACACACACACACACACACACACACACCACCCTAAAGAGGCAAAATAACATGGTATTTAAGATTTACTATTTTAAAAGTCTTAGTAACTGAAGGCCCTTAGTTAGCAATGAATTGTGATTTCCCTGGAGTCCAGTTTTGATCCCTGGATTTGAGGGAAGGAAGAGAGGGCAAGTTAATTTGTTTACCAGTTATCTGGGCATTGCTACAGTGTTACCTGCTTGTCATGTTAGGCAGGTGTAAGAAATAATGAAGGTGGCGTGAGAGCACAAGCCTATACCCCCCCAACCTCCCAAACTCCCCCCACTCCCGTTGGGACCATTTGGAGTCCTGGCCTCCAGCTGCACTTCCCTGCTAGAGATCTTTACTTTCCTTTTGATTTGAGCTACTAAAAGCTGTGTCAAAGTTGTTTACCAGCTCTGCTTCACGAGCGCGTGTTGCCTTGGCCTTGAGGATCAGAGGATAAGGTTTTCACCTGTTGGCCCACCTGACTGTTGGGTATATGAGCCTCCATGGTGCTACTGAATAAAGGGCTTCTTACCAGTGACTAGAGGTCCGTGTCTCTCTCTCTCTGTGTTTGTGTGTTTCAACCTCCAGCGCATAGAGCGCAGACAGGCGTTGTGCACCGCCCCCCCCCCCCAGCAGCACTCAGAAGGCTGAGGCACTGTCTCAGTCACTGTTCTATTGCTGTGAAGACACCATGACTAAGGCAAATTATAAAAGAAAGCACTGAACTGGGGGTTTGTTTACAGTTCCAGAGAGTGAGTCCATGACCAATATGACAGGGCGCATGGCAGTAGGCAGACAGCCAAGGGGCTAAAAGCTTACATCTTTTGTTTTTGTTTTTTTTCTTTTGGTTGTTTTGGTTTTTGAGACAGGGTTTCTCTGTGTAACATCCCTGGTTGTCCTGGAACTAGCTCTTGTAGACCAGGCTCGTCTCAAACTCAGAGATCCACCTGTCTCTGCCTCCTGAGTGCTGGGATTAAGGGCATGCGCTACCATTGCCTGGCTAGATAGATTACATTTTATACTTAAATTGGGAGCAAAGAAAGAAAGAGACTGATAGGGAAAAACTCAAAGCCCACCCCTGCAGTGACACACCTTCTAATCTTCCCCAAAACAATTCCACCAGCGAGGGACCAAGCGTTCAAATATATGAGCCTATAGGGGTCGTTCTCATTCAGACCACCACATGCAAAATTGAGGCCGTACATAGTGAGAGCCTGTATCAAAAACGTTAAGAGTTGGGATATCCTTCTATGGTGGACCAGAACTTGCCAAGCATGTACAAGGCTCTGCAGTAGATATCCAGCATGGAGGGGGTGGGGCCACTGGAATGAGGGTAAGAGTTTCCCTAAATATCCATAATTCAGAAGTGAAAAAATGTAAGAAAAAGATAGAAAATAAACTTTAGGCTAAATAAAAAAAATGAAAGGTCAAATTCATGAATGACTCAAGCTAAGCCAAGAACACATCAAAAACTATATGCTACCGTTCTAGCACAGACACATGCAAACATGTACAGACGTATCATGTGGAGGAAATGCTACTAAAATTTTTCTTGGACTGGAGATCTCTGCAAATGGATAAAGTCTACAAGGTTAGGCATGGCACACACCTGTTGTCCCAACTACTCAGGTATGTGGGCTCAAACTAGGAGGTCACTTCAGCCCGGGAGCTCAAGGCCACCATAAGCAACCCAGTGAAGGTGACTCTGAGGAAGGAAAGTAAGTTCCAGAGCCACGCGTGGTGGTTTATGCCTGCATCCCTAGGACAGGGTAAATAAGTTAGATGCCAACCTGGGCATCTAGAAGGCAACAGAGATGACAGCCCTTCTCAAAATCAATAAATAATGAACGAATAAATAAGAAAACAGTAGTGCATGAAACTGAATCTATAAAATAATCTTAAGTTGGTAAAACAGAACAATGTTTCTTCGTAGATACAGGGACATAAAGTTAGGGGGCAATGGTTCCCTACTACAGTGTTATCTGCATTTGTGAGCTCGGGGTTATCTTCTTATTATAATATTTCTTCAATCATTATATTATTTAAAGGGAATACTCTTTGTGTGTGTGTATGTGTGTGCAGTTTGTGTGTATATGTGCATGGCCAGAAGTTGACATAAGGTACCTTTCTTTATCATTTTATTTAATTAACTTTTTTTCATTTATTTTACATACTGACCACAGTTTCCCCTCTTTTTTTCTTTTCATTTTATTTAATTAACATTTTTAAATTTATTTTACAATTAGGTCTTTTTTTTTTTTGAGATAGGGTTGAAGCTCCTGTTGAATCTGAGTTCACTAACTGGCTGCCCTGGTTGGCCAGCAAGCCTGGAGAACCATTGTCTCCTCCGACCCTAAGCACTGGGGCTAAGGACACAGTGCCAACTGTGGATCAGAATTCAGGTCCTCGTGCAAGGCAGGCACTTCACCAACTGAGGAGTCTCCCAAGGCCATGCTCTGCTTTTATCAAGACATGTTTGCTTTTATTGTCATTGCCAAGTAAAGAGTGTTTTTTTTTTAATCTGAAATTATAAACCAACAGGGAAATACTAACACATTCAGATTCTAACTAGACTTTAAGCTAGGCACAGGCATCTTTCATTTAACAACATATATTAACTTCAATATAGTTGATAACTAAATTTCAATATAAAAAAAAAACCTTAATTACCTTTCCAATATAGAAATTAGGATTTTGGTTTCTGAATCTAAACAAGACTGCTAAAAGATAACAAATACACACAAATGTATACTACATGTAAACATGAGAACATGTAACGGTGATATGCGCGGATATGGTTGGGTTTATGGTAGATTCTACTGTCCTATTTGTAATTTCCTAGACTAACTTTCTTCGATAAATATTATCTAGAGGCCGATCAAATTCGGATTGTCTCCCTTCTCTTCTTTATCATGATAACTTTGTTTACTTTGTCTACTTTGTCTTCTGTTGCTGCACTAAACACCATGACCAAAAGCAACTTGAGGAATGGTTTTATCTGACTCACATTTCCAGGTTGCAGTCCATCATTGAGGCAGGAAATATGCTATGCTGCTTCTGGGCTTGCTGGCACTCTGGCTCAGTCGGTTCCTACCCAGGGATGGTACCACCCACAGTGGCCCGGACCCTCCCACAGCAGCTGGCGATTATGAAAATGCCCACAGCTGATCACTTTAGAAAGAGGAGCAAAGATGGTGCTGAAGCAGGCATACATGCGCACACACAAACCCAGACACACCTAACACCTTCAAACACTGGAAATGGAGCACAGATCTAGATGGGAAACACAAAGCCATGAAATTCCTAGAAGAAAACCAGATGATTTCTGCTTCAGAAAATTTAAACTCTCTCACTATAGTTCAAAAAATTTAAATGTATTTATTGACAAACATTTAAGGTGCCAAATTGATTTATATCAAACAAGAAAAAGGTCAGATATATCACAAGACAATTTATTTTTTGTTATTACAGATTTAAAGTTGAATCCCCTTTTCAAAGATCAGTGCTACTGTACCAGTTAACCCACTAAATTATCATCTTTGAATAAGAAACCAAAAATAAAAGGTAACATTTTTACAAAGGAAAATTATAGCTTCAAAATAAATGCAATTCTTCATTTCAAGAAATTACACGTTTTTCCTAATGTGAAGTAGAAAGGCTAATTACCTGGTAAAAATAACGCAGAACTTAACTTAAAAGACTACACTGGGAAAAAAAACAATAAAAATACTTCTTTAATTATATACAGGATGTTCCCAGCTAAACATCAAAGCAGTTTAGAGATACATGCACTGTTAACAGGAACTTAAAGCCTCTGGGAATTTGTTAAAGTTATTTCCTAGTTCACCAAAAAACTAACATTTCCATGATACACTATATATAAAGCAAAATTGTTTTATCAACTATTTCTTTATGATACACTATATATAAAGCAAAATTGTTTTTATCAACTATTTCTCTGTAAGTATAAGAGATTTTAGAAAAACTACAAAGCAAACTATGAAGCGAAGTTGTGATCACAACAGTCTCCCAGCAGAAGTGTGTGACTTTGATCTTAGTTGGCCTGGCAGGAGCAGACTGGATAGCTGGAACGCTCCACTGTCTACCTCTGTGTCTTACCATGTATAAAGGTAGAGAGACTAATTATCAATACAGGGCCAATGCAAAACTTGTCATTATGTTCTATCACCATTTTACATAAAGACGGAAAGAAACAGGAAAAACTATACTTGTATCTCAAGTGATTTCAAGAAAATCAGAGCCAGGTGTGGTGTTGTGTGGTGTTGCGCGTCTTTAATTCCAGCATCNGGGGGGGGGGGGGGGGGGGAGCCAGAGGACAAGGCTTGCAGAGACAGAGGTGGGTGGAGTTCAAGCTGTGAAGAGACTTTGCCTCAAAAAACAAACAAACAAAAAAACAAAAGCAAAACATAATTTAAACAAGCATTTAAACTATAGTAATCCAAGAAAAGCAGTAACTAATTTCATTAAGATTTATACTCCATGTAATAAATGTCTTAGCTACCTTTTAAATATAAAAAGATTTCTTCCAAAATTTATGTTCACAAAAAAAAAATAAGAGAAAAAAGTACTCATCACGGATGAAGAAACACGCAAAAATTAAATGATTTATAAAGTAATTACACCATTACCACACTGGGAACAGAATTCAACCTCTTTCTCTACAAATGCACCACAGACTCATGAATAAACATCAACGAGGTGATGATCACACGGTCTTATTGTCAACTTTAAGTGGAGCGGAAGGAGAGGTAGTTGATAAAAACACTACAGGGCTGAGACAGTTCACTGTAGAAAGGTTCCCTAGCATGAATGAGACCCTGGGTTTAATGTCCAGCACCACCAAAGGGAACAAGATGAAAAACAAAACACACACTTCAAACAAATCCCTGTTCTAGGGATTCCCCAAACTACGCCGTTCAGCGGGTAATAGCTATGCTGACTTACAAGTATGTACGCCCTCTAGATGTAAAACTAGAAGTGAGAGAACAATGAAAACATGTCTACCTGCTCAGGATAACAACCGGGAAGAAAGGAGGCGGGGCCTTTCCTAACAGTGACTCAGTCACTTCACTGGTTCTGAGAACATCTACCTCCAGACTTCCTGGTGTGAGAGAACACCTCGGACTCAAAACTGAGGAAGGAAGTGGAGGAAGAAAGGGAGTAAAGGGGGGACATAACGTTTTACAGGGGATTCTGAATATTAAATAAAATATATATACAAAGAAAAGGTTGTTCTCCTTAAAACGAAACTGGTTTAAAAACGTGACTCCTATGAAGACCTTCGTATGAAATCAAGCTACGAGGACACGCAGACGGAAGCTTCTGGAGACAATTCTGTTGCCTGCAGTCTTCCGTTCAATCACAAAGTACTCAAAAACTCTTTCACCTGAGGAAGGAAAAACAAATTAATATAATTCCTTCAATTAATTTGATATCTAACATTTATCTTCATCTACAGAAAAGTCGAACACACCAATTATATAAATAACCATCACAATACCACAGCGCTTATTTTTGAAACAAATACTGAGTATTTCAATAGTAGGGTAAACAGTCTAAAATCATTAATTAATTTACATTTAAAACTTACATAACTAAAAAAGATTGATACAATTTAAAAGACCTCTAATTTTATGCACACTCTCTCTTATATATATATATACAATATAACTATATATATAATTTATATATATATAAATAAAACTATCTATATAGCCCTGGCTGTCCTAAAACTAGTTCTGTAGTCCAGACTGCTCTTGAACTCACAGAGATCCACCTGCCTCTACTTCCCAAGTGCTGGCATTAAAGACGTGTGCCACCACCTCTGGGCTATGGTCTCTGTATTTTTAAATAATGTAGATCAATGATACGTACAGTCTTAACACTGATATTTAAAAGAGATTAAACACCTTTGCAATTCTGTAATTACAAATCTGTAATATTAAGGATAGAATTTATTTTTATTTTTTATGTGTGAACATTTTGCCTGCATGCATGTCTAGGTACCATGTGCATGCCTGGTGCCTAGAAAGAGAAGATGGCATCAGATTCCCAGAAACTGGAGTTACAACCAGTTGCCAGACAGCACGAGGTGCTGGGGATCCTACTCCTTTGAAGAGCCAAGGCATACATTTCTAGAATGTCAGTGTACGGGCAACGCTACATAAGTTCTGAAGAAACCTAGCCGACAGATGAGACTATAATGCAAGACTGTAATTCTCCACTCTAGACTATACAATTCTCCTTAAAAGATAAAGGTTGTTAAGGCTGGAGAGATGGCTCAGCGGTTAAGAGCACTGCTTGTTCTTCCAGAGGTCCTGAGTTCTATTCCCAGCAACCACGTGATGGCTCAGAACCATCTGTAATGAGATCTGGTGCTGTCTTCTGGCCTGCAGGCATACATGTGGACAGAACACTGTATACATAATATATAAATCTTAAAATAAATAAATAAATGAAGATTGCTGCCTTTGAAAAGTACCCTCCCCCAAATCCCAGGATTATTAATTTAAAAAAAATGTGACATTTTCCAGGTCTAAGAAAGGAAGTGTTTACTTAAAGCTAAGAAATGTGGCACTGGAGAGATGACTGTTGTTTACGAGAAGTTGCTGCTCTTGCAGAGGACCCAGGTTTGACTCCCAGCACCCACAGGACAGCCCACTACCACCTGTAAAGCCATTTCTAGGGGATATGACTCTCCTGGCCTCCTGGAGCACTGCACACATGTGGTACACTGCACACATGTGGTGCACTTACATACTTACGGACACAACATTAAAAAATAAATTGAAGTTTAAAATAATAGGGACTAGAAATTGGCTCAGTGGTTAAGAGCCCGGGCTGCCTTCCAGAGGTCCTGGGTTCAATTCTTAGCCCCCACACAGTGGCTCACTGGGATCCAATGCCCCCTTCTGGTGTGCAGATACATATACAGGCAAAATACCCAAATACATAAAAATACATAAATCTTTAAAAAAAGGGCTTTTAAATAATAAAATTAAAGTGGTTTTACAGATTTAGTTAAATTTGTACTTATTATACTGCTGCTAATTTTAATAGTGTCATATTTTAATTCTACCTTATATTTTAATATCATAAATAGTAACTAACTTGAATTTTCTACATATGTATTACTTAAATGAAAAGGTTACCAACCATACACAGCAATATTTTTCAAATGTTGAGGTTTTCCCCTTTGAGATATAGTCAATATTTTATTTTAGGAAACAGCCAGCTATTTCATGAGAAAAAAACAAAGAGAAATAGACCCCAAATTTCTTTCAAAACTAAACAAAAAAAAACAAAATGTTTTTTTCCTAGACATGAGATGACTAAGTTAATGGTAGATAAGGATTTATTATACAATTCTATTATTACCTTAATATTCTTCAGTAAGTCTCTCCCTTATATGTATAAATTACATTACTCATTTAGACAATGATCAACTCTCAATTTTCTGGAGGTTAAATTAACCTCTGTTAAAATAATGACTCAAGGATTAGAATAAGGCCAACTCATCCTTGACATGGTCTCCAACAAATAGATAAACTAACATTGCTTAATCTCCAAACATCAGCTAAAAATGAATGAGAGTATATCCTACGACTTTAAATGCCCTCCATACTGGATTCCCTGAAAAAGATAAACTAATTTTAAGTAGTTTATATATTGCTGATGTGCAACGGAAAAATGGGACAAAGCAGGAGAAAAGGATGAGAAAAAACACAGTGCTTCAAAGACAGACCCCTGCCCTCTTTTTCAAGAGAGGGTTTCTCTGCAGCTTTGGAGCCTGTCCCATAACAGTCCTAGCTGTTCAGGCATCTGCTTTGTAGACCAGGCTGGCCTCGAACTCACAGAGATCCACCTGCCTCTGCCTTCTGAGTGCTGGGGTGAAAAGGCATGCGCCACCACCCCCCCGGCTAGACCCCGAGCCCCTCTTAATGTACTTTTATAGAAGCTTTCCTGTAGGCAGCTGTTTTCACAAATATAGCTGTCTTAGACAAAACAAACACAAGGTTTTTTCTAAACAGACCTTCTCAACCAGGCTTTCATGCTTGTCTTTAAAGTCTTCATTGACATCCAGTGTGAGGATAGGCACCTCTTGAAGATAATCAAAGTCGGTTCTGTTTAAAAAGAAAGACAAACAACATCAGAAAAGCACTAAAGCCAGGAAAATAATATTAACAACTAACTCATATTCAAAAGTGCAAATATTGTCACTCATGCTGGACTAAAGTTACCCTGCAGGGAAGCGGCTGGCAGTCTCCTCTTTACAGTAGATTTGCTACCATGTGTACAATGATCTCAGCTACAGAATATGTAAAACCAGGCATATATGTATAACATTCCTCAAGAACCAAAATCACGAGAAAGGTCTTATATTCTAGCTACTGGTGTAGAGCAGTTGTCGAGTGCTTGCCTAGCGTGGCCAAGGCACTGAGGGCTCCATTCCCAGCACTGCGGAAAACTAAACTCAGGAAAGCCATTCAGAGCCTCAGGCGCTATGCAGTTACACACTGCCCAAGAGCTGACTCGGACAAAGTCGATGCCTCAAGTCCTGGCTGAAGACACAGCTTAAAACTACATCCCAGTAGCTTCCCCCGGCCATGTGGGATGCATTCCAGGATTCCCTGTAAGACTGAGATCACGGTAACATCTACGCTATATGCACTGTTTTTTCTTACACATAACATATACATATAACTCTAACACTATTTCTACCTTAAAACTGCCTTTTCCTTTCCCTGAACTGAGAGTGTTCCCCTTTCCATTTAAAACACATCACAGCTTCTCTCTGGTTTAAGGTTGCCAATATCCCTCAGGACTCTAGTATTTCAGAAGCATTACTGAGTAAGAGAAGGGATACTTGGTTATAAGCACTATCGTATGTGACAATCTCAGAACAGAACAGTTACTAAATGACTATCGAGCACATCCTGTGCGTGCTTAGACAAGCTGGACAGAGAGACAGCTCCTATCCTGGGCACTTCTGAGTGGAACCGGACGGAGCCGGCCAGCAGAGTGTTTCAACCCTACTGGGGATGGACGGCAGTGTCGTCCAGTATGGCCTCAGGCAACTGTACAGCCGCAGTCTCTCCACAGCCGCAGTCTCCCAGGAGACAGGATTACAGCAAGACACTGCCAGTTTAGCAAGCAACTTTAAATCCATGAATTCTCTCTGAAATTTCACATTTAATATTTTTGAATTTAGGCTAATAATGTATAACTGGAAGTAAAAAGTTAAAACAGATACAACATCAGACAGACTATGCTGCCTTAAAATTATTCCTGAGTTTATCTTAGTAACATACACAGACAGAGGCTTATTTTATCACTTAAAGTAAAAATACCAATAGAAGATACTAGTTACAAAAATCTTCAAACAAGTGACTTAACTATGAATACATGAGTAAAAATAAAGATTTAGTTGGGCAGTGGTAGCACACACGTTTAATCCCAGCACCCAGAGGCAGAGGCAGGCAGATCTCTGAGTTCGAGGCCAGCCTGGTCTACAGAGTGAGTTCAGGACAGCCAGGGCTACACAGAAAATACCCAGTCTTGAAAAAACAGTTCTTCACCTCGCCCATCCCCTAGACTAAACTCCGACAAAGGGAAGCACAGTGAACAGCAAACATAAGAAGGCCTTACTTCAGAGTTCGATGAAGGAGCCAGCTCTCGTGTTTATAGTGAAGTTTCTCTAAGTATTCAAGAAGGATGCCTTGTTCTTCGTTTCTTCCCCGTAAATGTATTCTATTTAAGCATTTCTAAAAGTAAGCAAAAGAAAATTTTGAGCAATGATTTGTGTCTACTACTGTGAAAATTTCCTTTCTGCTGTCTTCACGTTAGCCAAAACCCTGTATCTGTATTTCTTCTGTAAAGTCGGTATAGCTCATTTTTCCCTTTACGTGTTATTTTAGTCAGAAGATAGTTTTCAATTAGGCTGAACTTTGAAAAATAAATCAGTATACACATATGAAACACACTAATTAGTATTATAAAAGGAGGGAGGGGGCTGAAGACCATTAAATATCTACCTACATTTTTTTTTTTTAAGAAAACAATCAGAGTGTGTCAATCTATCCATCTTAATTGGCCATTAAGCAAATGTGTTTGGCCGGACTCCACCCCTGTAAGAGCGGTGCGTCCCTGGATGGACGCTCTGAACCACCAGAACCTAAAAGAACACGGGGTCCTTTCTACCTGCCTTCTATCTGTATGAGCAAGGTGGCCACAGCCACCAAGGCTTTTCAGCACTTGAAGCATGGCTAATGTGGTGACCAAAGAAACGAATTTTCAAACTTTACATATAAATGTGTGTGTGTGTGTGTGTGTATATATATATATATATATATATATATACATTTATATATATATTTAATAATCATAAGCTTAAATAGTCACATTTGACTGTGTGACTCTAAATCATTTTTCTCTAACAGGATATATATATAAAGGAAATTCCACACAATTTGTGGGAGCTCATCAACACCCAGATATAAAACCACCACACTGTGCTCTGTGGTGAAGCACCTGTCTACAATGCTCAGTATCCCGAGTTCAATCCCCAGCGCTGCAGAAGAAAAAAAGGAACAAGTAACATTCACCAGACTACAGCAGCCCGTGAACTGTGACACAGTCTGCTAAAAAAAAATCCTTTTTCCAATCATTTTCAATTAAAAGATACAAATGAGCCCAGTGTGGTCACATATGCCCTTTAGTCCCCACACCCAGGAGGCAGAGGCCAGCCTGGTCTACATAGTGAGTTCCAGGACAGGCAGGATGACATAAAGAGCTTGTCTCAGAACATAAAAACCGGTCATAAACGAGGGCTTGGGAATACAGCCGTCAGTAAGCGCTGACCGCACCAGCACACGGACCTGTGCCAGATCCCGGCACACACAAAATCTTGGAGAGGCAGAAGCAGCACATCCCCTGGTCGCTGGCCAGCCACTTCAGGTTGAGAGACCTCGTCTCAAAAATAAGGGGCTGGGACACGGTAGGCTATCCAATCCCAAGCAGCCAGCCCCAAACACACACTCATGGGAGCAAGTTATACATTTTATAAAATTTTATAAAGTTATAAAAGCATATTATAAATGTATATACACATACACATGTAACAATAATAATTAAAAACTTAAAAGGTCATGGTTTTGGAAGTGAGGACATGGGAGAATTTGGAAGAAGGAAGGGGAAAAGGAAACCGAATACTTACCTATGAAATTCCCACTGGCCAGTCAGTCTACCTGACTGGACCTTTCTGGACTCATGTAATATAATACAGAAATAGAAAATGAATTTACCTAATAAAAGGTGTATTTCTTGGGGAGTTCTCTTCGTCGAAAACAACAAGATGTCTAAATCTCTTTGAAGCGTGCCACTATTTCTTTGTACCAATTCACAAGTAACCATAAAATGTTTCTTAGAGTGGCCCTCCAATGGCTGTAGTATTCAGAAAGCAAGCATTTGTGAAGTTTCCACTATGTCCCCAGACCTTCTACCGGCCCTAGAAATGCAACAATAGCTAAAACAGCTCTCCTAAGTCCCACTTAATCACGTTTATATTTTAGAAGTTGCTTTGACAAGTCTCTTATTCTAGCTCTGATGGGACAAGAAGCTGAGTTAGGAATTAAGATTTAGATAAACAAAAGGATTGGTGAAGAACAGAGAAAACTAATCTTGATTTGCCGCGTCTGGACTTCTAGTTTGCTGAGAAAATCTATACTGCTCTGAGTTTCCAGGTTAGGAGCGAGAGAGTTGATTTTATTTATTTATTTTTAACTTTATGTCTCTGAGTGCTGGCTGTATGTATGTCTGGCCACCTCACATGTGTAATGCCCTTAGGAGCCAGAAGAGGGCATCAGAGTCCCTGGAACTGGAGATGATTGTGAGCCATCCTGTGGAGGCTGGGAATTAAACTTCGGATCTCAGGAAATACATATACACACAGCTCTCTTAACCACTGAGACATCTCCCCAGCTTGGAAGTCGTCACTTCTACATCCGTCTTGTGATTTCTGTTACTTCAGAATTTCAGTGGCACAAGCAAATGTTTATTGGTCTCACCTCTGGAGTAGCTCGAAGATAAATGATTCCATCCAGCTCCAGACTTTGCCCAAACTGGCTATTCATCCAATCATGCCAGTCCTGATATATCGTCCACTCTGTTTCGTTCATGCAGTCAGATTCATACAAATTAGATGTGAAAATATACCTGAAAGAGAATCTCCGTCAGCATGCACATCCTTCAAACACATAGATACCAATGATGACAGAGGAAATGGGTGCAAAACACACCCCTAAGTCCTGTGGAAAACCTACACAAAATGTCTTTCTAAGTACTGGAAATGGGCTCTTTCCCAGTAGCTCTCAAAATGCTGAATAATGATCCCTGGAGGTCCCCAAGCTCCTTCCAGGTCTATGAGTCGCCATCTTACTTCACACACTACTATACCTCAACCAAAATACATATACACAAATATAAATATACAAGCATGGATAAAAACCCAGTTTTATTAATTCAGACTATTAAAGAGCTACAAAAAAAATGTAAAGCAATACTACTCCTTTCACTATATTTTTGTTCTAAATCAGAAGTTTTCTATATTAATAAAGAGTATGTTTACTATTGATTCTTTCATTTTATATTTTGTATATTGATTGTATACTGATTCTTAATCTTAATTTCTAATATGGGTATCAAATAACAAAACTTTTTAGACTACTTTACAGTTAAAAAAAAAAGGGATCCAGAGACCAAAAACTTTAAGGGCCTCTATTCTGATAATTAAGGAGGTCAAAAGGCAGAGTAATTCTAAAACGCCTTTAGAAATTTTTAATTTTGATCTCCTTTTTCTAGGCAAGAGTCTAGGATATAAACCCAGATATACTCAGAACAGATGAGAATTCTAAGGGGTTGGGGGGAAAGGGGGCTCTGTCATAACACCATTAGCACCTCAATCAACGCTAACGCTGCTGTTTTTCAAGGTCGTCTTCTATCTAAAACCTCCAGCTCAGCCTCCAATTTGACTACCAGGAAATGAGAAAAAAAGGAAGTGTCTAGGTATAAACTCCAAAGAGCCAAATATAAGCCATTTGCATACCTGTCACTATACACAGATCGCTCAAAAAATAACACGGGTTTCTCTGCATCTTTGAGCTTGCCATTGAGGGCGGCAAGCTGAGCTCGGATCCGGCTGAGGCAGGCATAGGACTGGAAGGTGAAGGACCACCGTTCAGGCTTCTCGTACATCATCTGAAGAACATTCCCACCACTTTTCTGAGATGTTGTCAGTTCCTAAATTGGCAAAAGAGGTGAACAAACAGAGAAATAAGGCTGCCAACAGGGTGACTTTAACTTCTTTGTTTTGTCTTGTTTTCTGAGACAGGGCCTCACTATGTAGCTCTGACTGCCCTAAACTCAGGATACAGATCAAGCTGTCCTTGCAAGTCACCTCCTGCCTCTGCCTCACAAATGTTAGGATTAAAGAGACGAGCCACCATGTCCCTGGCTATTTTGACTTTTTAAGAGGTTCAAAAAGAGAAAATGGGGGGAAGGGTCCCGGAGAGCAGGCTCTATGATGAAGAGCACCTCTGCTCTTGGAGAGGACAAAGATTTGGCTCCAGCATCCATGTAGAGGTGGAAAAACCGTAATTGCGATTCCGGAAGATCTGATACCCTCTTCTGGCCTCATGGGCACAGCACCACAATACAGAGATATATACAGGCAAAAGGCCACACAAAATAAATCTTTAAAAAAATTTTCATAAATAATTATTAGCAAAATCAAAACATTAAATTCCTTCTCCTCACTCTTTTCTTACCTGATATCTAAAATAACTCTTTCTCACAAGTGACTAACGACCTACAGAAAAAAATGCCAATACTTAAAAGCTAAATAAAAATATTTGATTTATACATTCTTTTTTAAAATAGAAAAGATAGAGAATATTGTACTCCTATTGCCTTCTCAGAATAATCAGCTTTGGGCCTGGCAAGGTCAGAGGAAGTGCTGGCCACTCAAGCCCGATGACAACAGGTTGATCCCTGGAACCCACACAAAGGTAGAAGAACAGCAACTACAAAAGTCTGTCCTCTGATTTCCACGTATACCCACACACAAGCACAGATAGAAACAAACAAAATTTTTAAAAAATCATCTACATGGGGGCTGGGGCAACAAGTCATTGGCTAAGGGCATTTACTCCTCTTGCACAGGACTCCGGTTCAGTTCCCAGCACCCACGTGGTAGCTACTGTAACTCCCGTTTCAAGAAATCTGACGCCCTCTTCTGATCTCTGCAGGCACCACGCACACATGCATATAAAAACGCAGGTGAAACACACATACTCTTAAAAAAGTAAACAAATCTCTAAAAAAAAATCAGCTACAGCTAAGTTACACACGTGTCTCTCAGGTGAGACACATATACCCCCAGTTAATCAGCTTCCAACGGTCCCCGATTGCCTAACAGATCAAACTTAACGGTGCTCTTCCACTTACAATGGGATTCTGTCCTTAGAAATCAGTCCCGAACTGAAATTATGGAAGAGCAAAATGCATCAAAGCTTAAAAAGACAGTACACAACAGGAAACCTCTAATTGTTTTGAGCCACTGTGATTTCACTGCTGGTGTCTACCACAAGAGAGTATCACATCTCTATGAGTTCGAGGCCAACCTGGTCTACAGAGAGTTCTAGGACAGTCAGGGATACACAGAGAAACCCTGTCTCAGGGAGGAAAAAGAAGGAAGCAACTAAATAAAAGCTTTGAGACTACATCATGCATATCAGCAAAGAGAGTAAACTGCTGTTTTAAGTGAGCCTGCAAAACAGAGACTAATAACAATCATCTGTTGGTTCTCAAAATCATTTCGCCAGAATTTAGGGAATGAAAAAGAACACCATGTAATCTCTGTACTTGACTATGTCTTATTCTGACAGACTGGAGGTAGACGGTTGGTAGCACAGTAACACTTCAGCCACTAGATGGCAGGTATAAAAAACCCACTAAACCCACAGCTACAGCCAAGTAAGTTAAGCATACAGATGCAAGAGAGGAAGGCTCTAATGCCCAGTTCTTCCAACTCCACAACCTCCAGGAAGCAAAACAAGATCCAAAGGAGGACTGGTGGTTAGGTCTCCACACAGTCCACTCCTCGGTGATGACAGGATTCTATGACAGCAGAGTTTCAGAGACTGGGTGATTCATATTCTAACTACAAAGAACAGATCAAGAGTGAGTTGGAGAAGGGCTGGATGAAGAATTAAAGTCATTTCACTTGCGTTGCTTTGTGTGGTGCTAAGGCTGAAACCCAGGGCCTTGGGCACGCTAGGTAAGCAACCCACTGTTGTACTATATCCTAGCTCTGAACCCCATTTTTTGGAGTCTAAAATTTGTGGAGGACAGGATGAGTAGAGACAATATACAAAAGTACAGAGAAGCCATCCACCTACTTAATGCTTCATGTTTCATAAAATACTGTTCCCCATATTTTCTGAACCCTACTTAAAGCACAGAAGACCATAGCTTCTAACACACAAAACTTAAGAAAATGAATTCCATATGTGGATAAGTCCCTTTAAGGTTTAGTACTTGATATTCAAAGGATTGGGATAGATTTAGTTGTGCCCCCAGCCTAAAATTAACTATTCTTCGCAAATAAAAGTGTGAGAAATAGGGCTGGAGAGATGGTTCAGCGGTTAAGAGCATTGCTTGCTCTTCCAAAGGTCCTGAGTTCAATTCCCAGCAACCACATGGTGGCTCACAACCATCTATAATGAGGTCTGGTGCGCTCTTCTGGCCTTCAGGCATACAGACAGACAGAATATTGTATACATAATAAATAAATAAATATTTTTAAAAAAGTGTGAGAAATATGTTTAGTTATCAAAACCTTATATCTAAAAGATGAGAGAGAGAGAGAAACAGAGAGAGAGAGAGAGAGAAGAAAATTCACAAATATCCCTGTGTGGGCTAGTTTTGTGTCAACTTGACAGAAGTTACAGTCATCTGCAAGGAGGGAACCTCAATTTAGATAAGGCCCCCATTAAATCTGGTTATAGGCAAGCCAGCAGGGTGTTGTCTTAATTAGTGATTGATGGGTGAGGATCAAGTCCACTGTGGGTGGGGCCACCCTGGGCTGCTGGTCCTGGGTGGAGGGAGCCCTTAAGCAGCACCCCTCCTCCAGGTTCCCACCCTGACTTTCTTAGGTGATGAACTGTGATGTGGAAGTCTAAGCCAATAAACTCCTCCTCTCAAAGTTGCTCCTGGTCGTGGTGTTCCATGACAGCAACAGTCCCCGCAGTTAAGACAACCCACAAAGGCTGTATGTAGCTTCCTGCTACTCATTGCCTTCCATATGCCCAATAATTCCCAGCAGAAACCCCCATACCAATAGCTCTCCCCGCCTTTTTGTCAAGTGTTTTCAGACTGAACAAGCTTCTGGCAGACCCGTCCAACTTCTCTACTTTCAATTTCGTTTCTCCAGAAATGAAAATGCTTAGGAACCATTACCACACACAGCCTCTAGGAAAAAAGGAAACTGAAGTCTTTATCCCCCTATTTTCTCATTTGCAATGCTGTACTGAAAAGGGCTAGAAAACTGAACCGTTCAGAATGAAAGCTTGTGGAGAAAGGAGTTCGACTCCGAGTAACTAGGAGAAGGGGTTTTTAAAGGAAGAAACCACAGCCCAGTAATCCTAAAGGAGTAGGAAGGGCGTCACAGAATTCCGAAAATACCAGTGATGATCACAAGGGGGCAATTCCTGATTATACTTAAGATTACAATCTAACTTTATCTTTAACTAGTTCCTGAAACTGAACCGGCTAATCCTAGATTTCTGATTCTTCTCTCCCTGCTTAGACTTTTTTGCATAGGACAGGGAAATAAGATAGAAATGGATTTCCAGGGGCTGGAGAGATGGCTCAGTGGTTAAAAGCATTGACTGCTCTTCCAGAGGTCCTGAGTTCAATTCCCAGCAACCATATGGTGGCTCACAATTATCGGTAATAAGATCTGGTGCCAACTTCTGTCTGCAGGGACACTTGCAGGCAGACCATTGTATACATAATAAATAAATCTTTAAAAAAAAAAAAAAGAAATGGATTTCCAATGACAAAGGTCTGAAAAGATTAATAAAATCCAATTACTGGAGGTTTTGGTTTTCTTACATGTTTTCACTTAAATTATAAAAAAAAAAAATCACTCAAAAATTTATTTGTAATTAGATTTTTAAATTACTTCAACTTTTTTGTTTTTTGAGACAGGGTTTCTCTGTGTAACAGCTCTGGCTGTCCTAGAACTAGCTCTAAAGACCAGGCTGGCCTCAAACTCACAGACCCACCTGCCTCTGCCTCCCGAGTGCTGGGATTAAAGGTGAGCACCATCACTACCAGCTGCTTTAAGCTTTTGAACTTTCATAAATCTTAAACTGTGATGTAATAGTACCTAAATCTTAAATGCACAGCTAGACTTGAAGGTGGTTACAGGAAAGGTGGGGGGAGGGCGGGAAACAAAACACTGCTTCCCTAACCTAAAGGATTTTTAATTTTTTTTTTTTTAATGTGAACGGGTGATTTCTCCGAATGTATGTCTGTGCACTGAATATGTTCTTGGTACCCACGGAGGTCAGAAGAAGGTATCAGAACCCCGGAACTGGAGTTACAGACAATTCTGAGCTACTCTATGGGTGCTGGGAACTGTACCACCGTCAGTCCCTAAAGAATTTTTATTGTATTCACTTAAATACCTCAAACTCATCTTGCGTATTCTGAACGTTGCACCACTTGGCAACAGGTTCAGGCACCACTTCCCAGTCCTCACAGACTTGCTTCAGGATATTCACGAACGTGGACTTCCCAGCAGCTGTCACAAAAAAGAACAGACAAAACTAAGAAAAGGCGTTTGAAAAAGCAAACCTAACCAATGGTCATCAGCGTTTACAAGATTAAGAGTGAACGGTACATACGCAGAAACAGTAAGACCTTTTTCTGTACCTTTTTTATAAATGAAAGCTTAAAGACGGTCCCTAGCCAATTGTGCTGAGCAAATTTGTTATTATTTTTAGTTCACCAAAGGTAAGAAACAGAAAACTTGAAACCCTGGTTAAGTTTACTAAAGATATCATGACAAGAAAAAAACCATCTGCCTTCTGGGCTAGCTTTCTTTCCTCAGCCAAGCCCTTAGAAAGAGAACTTTCTGGAGTGGTAAAGCTTGACCCTCAGCCAGTTGTTGTGAACTTGACCAAGTCCCTGACCTCAGTTCCTCACAACCCAGGAAGACAAGATAGTACTAAAACTACCAGGATGCCCAGTAAATGACTTTCTCCTACCTCTGCTTTCTCAGTCTGAAGAGCTCGCTAAGAGTAGCCTGCACTTCAAACTCCCAATCCAGCAGGCTAAGTTAAAGAGAGTTTGAATTCTAGCCCAGCCTGGGCTCCATGATGAGACACATCTCAAAGAACAACCTACAGCTGGTATAACAGCACACACCTATAACCCCAGCACTTGGAAGGCTTAGGTAGGAGGATTGCTCTGAGTTCAAGTTCAAACTGGGCTACCGTGAGAGCAAGACCATGCTCCCCACAAAATTAAAAAGAGGAAAAGGAGGGTAGACACTCCAATACAACCAAAATAATTTACCAATAATAAAGAAACCAATAATAAAGAAACCAATTAAGAAATAACCGTACGATCCATGGGAAGATGCATCCAATGCTTAAGAGCTGGCGGCTATTACATCTGATCCTAATAAGCCTATGGCTATAGAAATTATTTTAAGTCTTGCAAAGCACTGCCTATGAGTAACAGCTGGAGAAGTCTGCCTCGATTTTATGGTTCCGTGCCCTCTATCAAACCCTTAGATAATAATAACAAAAAAGACAGCTTTACTCTTCCTGATCATTCACTAGTTTCTAAGGTACCCAGGAAAGAATAAGACAAAAATAGCTCATGTGTAATCAACATACTATAGTCATCATTTTCGTTATCAATGAGTCTGGACCTTGCGGCGCAGAGGGCGTAGCAATTCTTATAATGCCCACCACACCCTTTCTATCACCAAATGTGGGTATATAAGGCATCACTGACCAGTAATATTTTCTTCCTTCCTCTACCTTACACACACATACCTTACACACACATACCTTACACACACATACCTTACACACACATACCTTACACACACATACCTTACACACACATACCTTACACACACACACACACACAATATATATAGCTTCAGTATCTTCGCCAAGTGTCCTCTTCCTTATAAACGGGCTCAGGGTGGGCTCCAAGAACTTACCTTTGACTTGCAGAAGTACAGGCAAAACTCCAACACTATACAAGGCCAGAAGGGAATCAGGAAGGACCTTAGAGACTCATGCACAGATCAAGGAAAGGGGGGTCAATAAGGTGACAGGGTAGGTGAAGAACAGCATATCAAAGCGTATTAAATCCCATAAAGAGAAGAAATAAAGGCAAAGATAAACTGGGTGGCTATTTAGTTGAGGGGGAAACATGGGTGACCAAAATTCTGTGCGGAAAGGATAAGTTTATAGTTAGTAATGCATCTAGAGTTACAATTTAAATGGTCTTCGTTCATTGGCCCCGGAAAAAAAAAAAAAAAAAAAGAACATGATATCCAGGGTAGCCAAGAAACACACTGAAGTATCTCAAACCAGTCCAGAATCGAAAAGTACTTAAGGCTAAGATATCAAGCCTTCTTCTGACATCAATTACAACCACAAAGAGCTCACGGAGTTATACTTTAAAGTTGCAAATGTGAAATTTTACTTCAAGCTGAGTAATCAGTCAGTTGCAGTTCGCAAATAATCACTACCCAGTTCCTTCCTTAATGTCTGGGAGGAAGATCTGAGCTGGACAAAGCTTATAAGCTAACAGTCTATGAAGGCGAGCGACCACAACAGGCGAGAACACCAGTTACTAGTTTTCCAAGTCATGGGAAGAGAGGTGATGGCACAGGGTTTGGATGCTGTGCACTCAAAAGCAGGTAACCAGGCAGGTCAGGGCTGTACAGTGAAACCATCTCAAACAAAACACAAACAACAGTCATAGTTAACAAACGAATCCCTAACACTAAGCAATCATCACCACGCAATCATTCTGAACACAATGAAATGAGTCAATAGGGCCTCCATAAACCTAATCTATGCGAGTAACTCAGCAACACAGAACAAGAGAAAACAGGCTACACAACTAAAAATGACCAAACAATCTTCAAATTTTAGGAAGAACAGAATTACAAGGTAGTCTTCACAGATTGCACAATTTTTACATCATCAGGCTGTTTGGACCTGACAAATAAGTTAAGAGGGATATAAACAACCGTACGAAGCTACAGGGGCAAGAAGCAAGGGGTGACGCCTCCCTGCAGTAAAGATAACAAGTGGTTATCTTAGCGTGAATCATCTAAATGGCAGTCCCTCCAATACTTGCCAAATAATCAGAATCTTTTCTTCTGGTTGGTCAAAGACCTAGATGCTCAAGGGAAATCCCAATACTTGTAAGCAGCTTTTCCTAACCGTGTGCAAAGGCCGGGCCATTAACGTGCCGCTCTTTCCAGATCAGTAGGGAGGAGGTCAGGGAGGAATTGCAGGCACAGGTAACACCACTGCATCTGTATGCAGAAAAGCAGCTCTGCAAGCCGGTAAACAAGTTGCGGAGTGAGCCGTTCACAAGTGATTTCAGGGCTGAGAAGATTGAAGATGAATAGAGGCAGAGAGATCTCTAGGTGTACGCTGCCTGGGTTTGAGAGAAGGGAGATAGATATCCATTATGGTTCAGATCCCAGGGGTCGTCCACTGAAATCTACTTCAAAGATGACTTTATTGAAAACTTCCTCCTGCTGTTACATAGGGGCATCTTTATCCACTCAGAGGCTGTGTCTTGTCTTGCTGGTAAGCATGACATCTCAAAGAACTTTTAAGAAATACGGATCTCTTCCAGTTCGACCTGTGTCTAAGGATGGGGCAAGTAAAGCAAGGCCTCTGGTTTGTGTTTCAGCTCTGCCCTCGTGAAGGCATCCACACCTGCTTGCCTTCTTAAAGAGTGGGTGCTTTGAATGTGCTCCGAATGAGACCATCTGCGGCACACATCAACAGTCAGCACTCAACCTGCAGCCCCCAAACGACAGCCGTATCAAAACAGGAAACACCATTAGGTTTCCTGTGGTCGGAAGTGTAAAGGAATGGGAGATTCGTGTTCACCTTGCAAAATCGCATGCACGGTGTAGTTTATCCCAATTCGGGCAGAAATTCTAATGTCTCTGAGCCATACTCCATCCAGGGTCTACCTGAACGTGGGAAAGGGAGTAAAAAATTCCACACCATAAAATCAGTAAAAACGCCTTTCCTGCCGGGCGGTAGTGGCACACGCCTTTAATCCCAGCACTTGGGAGGCAGAGGCAGGCGGATCTCTGTGAGTTCGAGACCAGCCTGGTCTACAAGAGCTAGTTCCGGGACAGGCTCCAATGCCACAGAGAAACCCTGTCTCGAAAAACCAAAAAAAAAAAAAAAAAAAAAAAAGCCTTTCCTCGTATGCCTACCACAGTCTTAGGAATTGCTACCAACACCAACCCACAATGTCGACCACGGAGGAATACATGAGGTATAATACCATTTAGTGGAATATTATTTAACACCTTTTTTTTTAAGTACTACAGTGGGCCAGGCGCGGTGGTGCACTCTTTTAATTCCAGTTCTTGGGAGGCAGAAGCAGGCAAATCTCTGAGAGTTCAAGGCTCTACATAGTGAGTCCCAGGACAGTCAGGATTACTCAGAAAAAAAAAAAAAAAAAAAAAAAAAAAAAAAAAAAAAAAAAAAAAAAAAAAAAAAAAAAAAACCAAATTAAAAAAAAAGTATCATAGAAACAAAGCATGAGCGAATCATAAAAGCACTCTGGTAAACCGTACAAGACCAGACACTCTGGTTCTGCTTAGGACACTGCGGAAAAAAAAAAAACAAAATTTGCATGGAGTAAAAAGAAACAAGTCAGGGCTTGTACAGAGATGGGAAGGGAGAAAGCTTACTACAAAGAAGCACAAAGGGAACTGAAGGGGGAGGTCACGAAAATGTTCTCAATTTTGCGGCAAAACTGCAAGTTAGTGAAACCTACCGGAAAAGCACACCTAAAAAAGGGTGTCGTTTACCTAAGTTACCTCTCAAGACAAGCAGCATCCCCCTCCAACTGCGCCCCGGACCCTCGCGTTTGGAAGTTCCCAACAAAGAAGGTGCAGTGGCCCAGAGCGCGCCTCACAACGCCCCGGGAAGGCGCAGGGCCAGAGGAGCCACCGCGCGGCTGCGGAGTGAACGCCGACCACCGGCACCGGAGCGGGGTCGCCTTACCGATGTTCCCCTCGATGGCGATCTTCTTGATGCGTGTCCCCTCGGAGCTGGCGGAGGGAGAAGGGCAGAACCTCTTAGGCGGGGTGGTCATGCCTGCTCGCTCGCGACGGCTCGGGCTAAGGGACCTGCAGGAGTGCGGAGGAGCTGGGAGCTCGGGAGGCAGCGTCAAGCTCGCGCCGGCGGGACCCGCACTTTGACTTTGGCGCGCGGCGGCTGGGCGGGCCCGTGGAGCGGCCACGCCCTGGCGGCCCCGACTCCCACCCTCCACGCCTCTGCCTCCCCAGCCGGCGGCGCCGGGAGCGTGGCACCACCCGGCGAGCCGGGCACCCCGGGACGCGGAGGGCAGGGGCGGGCCTTGCGCTGCGAGCTCGTCGGAGGGTAGGGGCGGGGTTTGCACGGGGAGTCGCGGGGGTGGGGGCGGGGCTTTCGCGGTGAGCTCAGTCGGCCGCCGCAGGAGCTGGCCTTACAGCGTGAGCCTTCTCCCCTGCAGGCTGGGAGGTTTGAACTCTCGGGAAAGAAAAGTAGGAAGTAGAAAATTGAAGCCTCAGTGGGTGCCTCTACAGGAAGCGTGTAGCTGTCCCGCACTGTCTTAAGAGGTTTTTCGTTAACCAATGACCCAGTGCTAATCCCTCTTTAGTGCCGTGAGTGACAGGAAGGACATGACTACCCCTAGGTATGGTGGAGAAAATTTATTTAGATAAATTTAGATAAAAGGGACAGCATAGGTTGAAGCAGGAATATCTGGGAGAGTCCAGAGCGGACATGACCAGACTGAACTGGGCCATGAGAGAAAAGAAACGGCAGAAGGGGAGACAGGAGAACCAGGTGGAGCATCCAAAAGACCAAAGGTACCAAAGGGAACAGGTAATGTCCTCGTCGTCTCCCCCTCCCCCCACCCACACCCGTTTAAAACTTAAAGCGCAGGAATTTAAAAGTGTGTCTGGACTGACTGAATTTAAGACCCACTCCCTGAGAAGGAACCCACACCTGACACTGCTAAGGTGGCCTGGGACTAGCTAGGCCAGGGACCCACAGGAAATCCAAATACCGTTCTGCTAAAGGAAGAATAAAACCATGACATTCTGCTCTACCCATAGGTCCCTATCTCATTCAGCCGGCATGAGAAACTTCCCCTGCCAGAGATGAAACAAAAGCAGACCCACAACTAAACAAAGTGCACTTTCTTAATTCAGTAGAAAGGTTCACAAATATTTCATTATTTTGCTATTTTCACAGCAAAAGTACATACTAAACACCAGTTTTAAATTCAAGCATATATAAGAGCCTTTAAGCCCTAGACCCAATAACATGTACAATTCCTTAACTTTAGTTTTCTAGAATGTAAGGTATATAGATGGTAACTTCCAGTATTGTGAGAATTACAGAAAGTACTGCCTAACAAATTTTGAAACATTCAATATGCTTTATATACCTTAATTTCCCTTTGAAATGTGACAGCGTAGAAATACCTACAGTAAAAATAGACAGTAATGTAAAGTCAGGATTCATGGTCAAACATAACTATTTATTAGGGGTCTTTTTCCTTATAAACATTTCTTTTTTAAAAAAAAAGAAAAACTTAGAATTTAAATACCTCCCATTCCACCACATATAAGACTGTATACATTATTTACATTTCTAAAATAAAACATTACAGATTTTCTGACATTCAGTATTTCCTTTAAAATAACAATAATGAAGCAATTAAACTTTGATCAACAGCTACAATTTGCATAATCTTGGCACAATTTACAACATGGCACCCACGCTGCATTTCATATTTTAGACCATCTTTGTCCCATCTAACTGCCCAGTAGAGAAACTGTCCCTGCTGAGAACAGACTCGGTCTCCGTGCATACGGTCTCCGTGCATACTAAAGCGTGCACAATGCAAATGCTGCCCTCTGCTTCCTTTACTTGGTACTGGCAGTATTTCTGATTTTTGTCTTCAAAAATGATTTCTATTCTGACTTTAAATGTTCCTTATATTTACTGTTTTCATGACATTATTTCTACCAATACTTTTAAGTAATATCTTAAATGTATAGGAAAAAATCAAATAGAACAAAAGTCTTCCTTAAAATATTAGTGATTTCACCACCCCGGTTATGCATATACAAAAATAACAAACAAAATTTAGTAGCTGTAAAAAACTATTTTCCCTAAAAATAGTCATTTCTGCAAAACAATTTAAGGAGAAAAATGTTCTGAAATAAAAATGCACTAATAGATTTTACAACCTATACTATTTCAGAAACAAAAATGCAAATTTGTGCAAAACTAGAAGAAATATCCAATTATAAGAATAATAATGGGCTGGGCGGTGGTGGCGCTCGCCTTTAATCCCAGCACTTAGGAGGTAGAGGAGGGCGGATCTCTGTGAGTTCAAGGCCAGCCTGGTCTACAAGAGCTAGTTCCGGGACAGGCACCGAAGCTACAGAGAAACCCTGTCTCAAAAAAACAAAACAAACAAACAAACAAACAAAAAGATTATGAGCACAGCCTTTTATCCCAGCACTTGGGAAGCAGGGGCAGACGGATCTCTGAAGTTCAAGGCCAGCCTGGTCTACACCAGTACAGGCTCTAAAGCTACAGAGAAACCCAGTCTCAAAAAAAAAAAAAAAAAAAAAAAAAAAAAAGAAGAAGAAGAAGAAGAATTATGAGAGAAATTAGGAAACTGTCAGCTTTGGTGACATAAAGAGCAAACAAAAGAAAACCTGTATGTCAACAATCCTTCAGAACTACTCACAAAGACTAGCTGTAAAGTCAGCCTTGAGTGCATGTGAGCAGTGCACACAACAGATGCAGAGTGGAAAACACAAATCTGTGAAGGCCAGTGATCTCACTTACTGCATGTTTGAGAACTGTGTAGCAATACATGCAAAAGAAGAAGGAAGGAAAGAAGAAGAGAAAGGAAGGGGGGGGGGGAAAGGAGGGAGGGAAGACACCTGTACCAGGAACTTGCACCACAATTAAAAACTGAGGGCCCAATTTAATTTGCACTTTTTCTCTTTTGTGAGAATACAAATAAGTCCAACTATATGAGTAGTAGACAGAGATCACAGCAGTCTTATCCTTCAAATGAATTCTCACAGATGAATTTCTGAAAGCCTTAAAGATTCAAATCATCTGCCTTCAGAATCCTGTTGCATGCCTGTTGTTTGTTAATTTTGAACTTTCTTATTAAATCTTGAAACAAACCTCTATTATCACTCACAAATGATCATGCTGATAAACAGTGGCGCCTATGGTAAATCTCTAGATTACGGCAAAGCCCTAATACTAAAGTCCATTAGGAGCAATACTTCAAGACTGAGCTGAGTTAATAGTGGTATATTCTTTAATATGTCAAGAAAGTTTCAAAATAACATGTTTTCCTAGTATGTAATCACATTCCACATTACAAATAAACCTTTGGTCCAGTATATCTTCAATCGGAATTTACTGTTATAAATGACATGTTCTGAGTACTTATATAATTTTAAATGCTATTCACAATAGATAAGGTAACAACACATGGCATAATTTATATAAAATTTATTCCAATTTTTCCTATACATCAACCTCCAGTCTTTAATTAAAGTCAGATTGAAACAAAGACTTGTTTAAAATAAAACAGAATACAAAAGAGGTAAAAAGGCTTTGTTTCTTTAAACTGCTGTTTTAAGTACTGGATCCACTTTTTCATACTATTCTCTCAATCAAAACTATCCTACATAATTCAAAAGATAAGGGAGGAAAACAGAAGCAAGATCTAGAGAAAAACCTTTAAAATTCTATTTAAATTCAAAGTAATTATACTTAATTTCTTTTAAAAAATGTTTTCACATGTAAATGATGTTCCTATTTCCAATAGTGACATCAGGGAACTTCTATCCTGTGACGCAGTCACTGAGAGCAGTCTTCTCCCAAGATTTAGAGCCTACAACATAACTCTTAATTACCAAGTTGGCTTGGTTCTCAGAGAATAGCCAAGTTTGTGAACTTGATTTGGTAATTAATGTTGGTTCTATTAGCTTCGAAAATTGTTACTGTGCAACTAAAAAAATGAAAATGATCTCTTATGTAGTCAAAGCACCTACGACACATGACAAAGTTCTAGAAACATACTTTGAACACAGCTGACATAAACAGTGCTCCAAAGAGAACTAACTGCTTTCAAAGTCAGCTCTCATTTGGATGTTGACTAAGGTACAACATACTCATTTTAAAAGGAAGTTCCACAGCTTAGTATTTGTATCTCACATAATCTACCATTTTAGTGGTTATCAAAACCTCTCTCAGAGAGGGTGTAGACAAAGCTATAAAAGAAATCTGTTGTTTTGCTGCTACTTTTCCCATAAGCAAGGAAAATGCTCATTACACAAAATGGAATCTAGTGATTACATATGCAAAATATAAATATCCATATTTCTCTTTTCTGGGAAGAGATTGTAGTGCTTCATCCATCCTGATAATCCAGGTAGTAACTCAAAAATACATATTAAAAATATACTCTGCTACCTAATACATTTTATGTTGACCATTTAGAATTTACAATGACTAAAATAGCGAAAAGTGGCAACAACCTAAAATGCTTTCAGTTTATGGTACACAGAGCTCCAAAGCCACCCAGCAACACACCATGCTCGTTGTCTGGGACAGTCTAATGGTGTGGCTCTGTGGGGAGCGGGAGACCCAAGTCAACAAGTGAACGGGGCAGCAGCACCACCTACTCAGTCAGTCTCTCTTCACGACCACTACGCTGACAACTAATATTTCCTAAAACCTGCTTCGTTATGTACGCATCTAACCAAAGCACTGTGAATAACAATATGATAATTTTCTATATCCAATTGTATGGGATGAGCTTATGAACGAATGAGGAAAACAACTTGCACTTTTATAACTGCATAAAAATGGGGTAGCCAGATAATGGTGGTGCACCCCTTTAGTCCCACAGCATGTAGGGTGCAGAGGCAAGGAATCTCTGAGAGTAATTGAAGCCAACCTGCCCTATGTAGCAAGTTTCAGGCTAGCTAGGGCTACAGATACACCCAGTCTCAAAAGGGGGGGGGGGGCAGAGAGGGGGGAGTAAGAAAGGGGAGATTTTCTTTCTAAGTGAGCAGATCTGAAAGGGATCTAAGAGACAGTTATAAGCAAGCTCTCCTGCAGAATGAACTCTGATCTTTACTCTATGAAAGGGCATTTTACTCTCCAAGCAAGTTTACTAAACTGGCTTTCTCTTGAGTTCTAGTGTTTCCTTCTTAGCGCCATCTGCCACCATGTACACTTGCCAGGCCCTTCCCAGGAGAGTTTCTATTTTCTCACTACACACACACACACAGACAGACAGACAGACAGACAGACAGACAGACAGACAGACAG